CCCAAGAGTTCCCATGGTACCAAATAAAAGGTTCTTGTGGTCTACACTAGAAAAAAAGATAGGTGCCCTGGAAAGTAGCAATGAAATCATTTTACTGTGTAGCATTTCTTAAAGGGAAAAGTCAAATGAGGAGTTAAATGGTTTTGCACACACAGATTTTATTTCTTGATGACTGCTTAGCCTCACAGAGGGCCGAAGTGACTTTAGGTGGGATAACCAGATCTGTTTGCTCTGGAGAAGCGGTCACAAGTCCTCCAAAGAAAGGCTGGGAGACAGATGGCTGGCTATTGTGTTACAGCCATCATCTGCTAGGTCATGAGCAAATATTAAGTGAAAAATATACATGTGATTGGTGTGAAAGCACAGCCACGGCATTGCCAATGCAGGAAGGATGGCAACTTCTGCACATTTGTGTTTCAGTGAATGCTGAGCCGAGATGTTAGACACACAGGGTTAATCCATTTTAAACTGTGCTAAAGTGAACATTTGCCCCCATTTTTGACACTACTGTGCAATATTTTGAATTGAAATGTCTAGTAATGGCCCTTTTTTATTTTCCATAACAACACGAGCACTAAATTATAGCTGTGCAATTATGTAAACAATGGAAATGCTTCCAGAAGGAATCCTTCCTTTTAAATTTTCATTTTGTGTAATTGTTGGAAGGTTTAGCGCTGTAATAAACAAAATTATTTTACACATTTATCATTCTAAAGGTCAATTATAAGAGAACTAAAGAAGCAGCCCTGTGCAGAATGAGTAAGCCAATTTGTGCTGCCGTCACCATATGTTTTCCTTATCACTTATAGTTTTTTCCAGTTACTGTGTACATAGCATTCAATTAAAGCGATTCATTTGAGGGGCTGGATGTAGTTTGTGTTTATAGAACTGTGCTTTGGAGGAGAGGAAACAACACGCCTCTATTTGAATTACCTGATTTTTTGCAAGATCAGTGATAAGAGACAGATGTTCTCACCAGTCGCTTTCTCATAAGCCTGAACCTTGTGATAAGCTGCAAAGCCACAATTATCGTCTTACAGTCTAGCTTTCGAAAGCGCTCAACATGGAGCTCACACGTGAACCTATCACTTAAACAGGAGAAAATGCCACTGTGTGTCCTGCTCACCGTGTGGCCACAGTCACAGGGTGATTTCTTTCCAGCAAAAACAGAGTTTGTCTGCTCTGTCCTAGTCAACTTAAGAACAAACCTGAGTCCTGTTCCAGACTCCATTTACCACTAAGCCTGTTTAGTTTAATGTCTTGTTTAGTCTGTTTAGAATGTACAGAAGAAACCAATTCTTGCTACCAGACTCATTTGTTTGAGGTAGGTTCTAGAATTCCTAAAAAGGATGAAGCTTAGAAAACCTAAAGATCTTCTTCCTGATTTTGCTTTCATTTTTTACCCCCGCATTATATACACAATCTCTAATTGCTTGTTAAAGAAGTTGGTTTAGGGAACCAATTGCTGGAGCTTTTTAATTTCTAGGGTAATGTATGATCAAAGAAACTTGTCTGTGTTATCTCTGAAATGTTTTAAGATACCCTTCCTCTATAAATCATTAAACATTCATTCAGCAAATTGTACAAACTAAACCTATGAAGTAAGTTCTATAAAGTAAAAATCCTTCCTTTTTGAAAACCACTGTTTGCTGACAACACTGTTTACTTCTGCATGGCCGTTGAAAGCCTCCATAAAACATCTGTTCATATCTGCATCCCACTGCCTACTGCTAATTAAGGAGGAATCGTCCCCTCTTAGGGAAGACAGAAACATGCTGTTTTGGGGACAGCCCACAGTCTCTAACTCAGGTCTTGTGGCCCCACTTCTAGGGTTCTTCATGGGGAGAGTTTGAACACAGGAAAATTTCCCAGCAGTGGTTATAGTTACGCAGCCTTGAGAGAAGGAATCACACGGTGAGAATAACAGCCCCTTTCCCCATCACAGTCTGTCTTTATGACATTCGCAGGCTAGGTGGAGGTTGTGGGCCGCTGTGGACTGCTGTGGGCCCCATGGCATTGCAAACCACTGTTTTCAAAGAGTGGTGCCTGTCACAAACTAAGAGCTTCTGGCAGCTAGTGATATTTTTAGCAAGAAATTTGGCATCATTTGCTTGCTAATATTATATTGGTTTTAAGGAGTATATTCTGTTTCTGACAGAAAGTAATCATTTTTTAGTATAACTTTCAAAAAAAGTGAAACACCTATTGGAAACACCTATTAGGCAAATCATGCTTTAGAGAGAGGGTAGTACAAAGGGCATAAGAGCTGCTCCTCGAGTGATGGGTGTATGGTGACTGCCATTCTGTCTTGTTCATATATAAAGCCCTGTAGACTGAGAATAAACTATCCGAAGCTGGAGGATTTTGTTTTATATTTCCAAAGATTGACCTTAATGCCTCGAGGTGGAGGAGTGGGATGAAAGAATGATTTTTCTATGAATTAGAAATGAATGGAGCTCATCGTGGATGGCCCTCTGTTGAGAACATGGATGGCAGATGCACTCCTGAGTACCATGTGGCTATTTCTAATTTGAAAGTGTTATCTCAAAGATAGACCCTTTGGACTGCTCCATTTCAGTGTAGATAAGCAAAGTAAGCCAGCATGTGGCGGTAATTTGGCTGACTGGTCCTACGGCCCCCTCTTTAACCCCCGCATTAACCTGCCCCAGTGCTGTCTTTGGTGACTACAGCAGAGGCACACTGTCCCCACAGGCTCTGTCTTCCGTGGGTGGCAAGTAGGGTAGGCTTGCCATCTGTTACTGTCCCTCTCTTCCCCTCTCTTTGCCCATAGAAGCAGGTTCGGTTGAAGTCACTGGCCCAGGTCCAGGGACTGGGTGAGCCCTGTGACTGTATCTCAGCAACATGTGTATCTGCCGTCGTTAGCACCAGTGACAAGTTTGTAGTTTCTTTTGAACGTAGTTTTTTTTTTCCCTAGGTCTTTATGCATATGTACCAATGAAGCAAGTTTTACAAATTACAGTTTCAGCTTGCCAAAGGATTCTGTTCCCAATTCCCAAAACCTATTCCAGAAAACCATCTTTAAACCAAAATTCTAAATTCCAGTGGTGAAAATAGCTCATTTGAGTTAGTTTAGTGTGTGCTAAAGATTTAAAAAACCCATAGGCTTCAGGGTTTTAGCTCCTCATCTCAACAGATGGAATTAACGCAAACATAACAAAGCTAACATCATGGCTGTTTGCATTATTAATCTTCAGATGCATGGCATTCTGCTACCTTGCTAGCCAGGTTTGCACGAATCCTTTCATTGCAGCATATGTCAACAGAAATGTGCTTCCATCTGCTGCTGGATAGCTTGATGCCTGATATTCTGAGACAAGGCCCCAACACAATGCATACCTCTGTGAGTAATTACAGGTGTGTGGTGAGGAGCCCAGGGCATTAATCAGAGGCTTAATTATGAAAAAGGTAGATCTTTTGTTCCACTCCTGGAGCCTAAGTCTACCACACACTTTCTAACCTGCAGCATCCATCTGCTCAGCTCAGAGAATGTTTGTCTTGGCTGATAGGGACCCTAAAGTGTATCGCAGGACATGATTAAAGCAGGCTTAAATATTAACTGGGGAAAAACCTTGGTTCTGGTTTTTCTTCCATTCCTTCCTTTTATATCTCTGTCTATCATCTATCTATCTATCTATCTATCTATCTATCTATCTATCTATCTATCTATCTATCTATCTATCTACCTACCTCACCTTTATCTGTAAATCATGTTTATCTGTTCATTTTTATGTAAGAAAAAGTCGACTGAAATGCCAAAACTTAAGTTTTAAGCTAAATGCTTATCGTATGTGAACACTAAAATATTATGTATTCTATGATCATTTGAAGCATAGAAATAGTATTATTTATATAAATAATGAATGAATTAAATGGTTCTACTCTAAGAAAAATGTCTTGGGAAAATGTTTTGTGACCACATATAAGTTGTGTTTAAGAAGACAAGTTGTGGAATGAGGTGAATCTTATGAAGGGCCTAAGATAACTTTGGAAATTAGCATGTGGCTATGCTTTGCTCTAATTTAATAGTTGTCAGGACAATTTTGAAGGGTTTATTCAGATACTCACATGGACAGCCAAGGTTCTTATGTTTTGCTGTTTACTTGTATATTGACACTAACTATCGGTTCCATGACAGCAAGTCACATAACTGAAGTCCTTCATTGTGGTGGGTTTGTTTGATTTATGTGCCTGGCTAGAATCTGTGTAAAAGATTGTAGTTTTCATTCTAATCCCACTTATACATGCACACACTCACACAGATGGCTTTAGAGGGGGGCCTGGCCATGATGGTGTGAACACTGTCCTGTGGTGGATCTGATCCGGCACAGGCGGGAATGAGGGACTGGGGGTTGGGGGGCAGCCAGCCCTCCACAGGAGTCCATTATAAACACAGGATGGAGAACGGGCGGGGAGATGCTCCTGATGCCGAGCTCTTGCAAATGGCTGCTGTTGGCTTTGTGTTTGCACCTCCTGGGCACATCAGATCTGTGGCAACTCCCTAACCTCAGTACCTCATGCATGTAAGAAGAACATTACCTTAGCACTGCCTACACTCCTATTTCTTAGTGTCTGAAACCTCCAACTCTTTGCCTATAAGATTCACTAATAGTATACTTTAGCCTCTGGGGGTTGAAGCTGAAGACAGAGCCCAGTTTTTATTTTATGGGTGTTTGTGGGTTTTATGTATATGTGTATCTCAGTAGTTCTGTAGCTTGTTCGAGGAGCCCACTGTGAAGTGGGATACAGGACAGATGTTTAGCAAGCCTCAATGCCACAGGATGAGTTTTGGATAAGTCATCTTACAGTTTGTTGCAAGAGATGTATACAGGAACCATTGGAGTTATGCACCCCCTGCACTCTTGTTTAAAAATCTATCACCATGCTCTTCTATGTTATGGTGATCATGCATGTACACAAAGAAACCACTTTAGAATTTTGTTCTTAAAATTACAGTTGCATTTTCTTATTTTCCTTTTCAGGATGTCTTAAACACTATTATAAGAAACTGTTCACCCCGCTTTTTCTCCCTGGGTTTGCCTGGTTTCTCAATGCTGGTGGGAGATTTTATCACTGCTGCTGCCAGGGTCCTCAGTACAGACATGTTGGCGGTGAGTATGACAATGTTCAGCATCCCAGCTCCTGGGAGACTTCACAATTGCTAACAAGGCTCAGATTTCTCCACTCTAACAGGTGTTGACTCATTAGTGCAATGTGAAACTGGGCTCTCAGAGTAGATACCCTGGCAGCTGATCTGTGAAATTGTAGGATAAGATGACATACTGGTACTGGAAAGGCGTTTCATCAAAAGGCCAAAGTGTGAGAAATCATATCCCCACTAATATGTCAGCACATTTACACGAAAGCAGGGCCTGTCTTACAGACCCTTATTAGTATTTGCCTGTAAATGGCATTATGGACATAAATGCAGTAAAGAGAGAATTTGAAGTGTATGTTCAAAGTAATGTGTTGTTGTTTTGTTAAATTTAGTTTGGTTACTGTGAGTCTCATAGAAAGAAATAGAAGTCTATGGTCCTTGGGATCAAATCCAGGGCCTCTTGTATGTTAAACTTGCATTTTACCACTGAGATACACCCTATCCCTGAAAATATTTCCTTAGAATATTAGAATACTTTTTTTTTTAACTGGTAATGAGTATATAGTCATATTAATGTGTGGGAAAACTCTGAAATTGTTATACTACTAATTCTTCTACTAAATTAGAAGCAAATGGGCTTACTGAGCATCAGGGGCCACAAGAGGAAGTTATGCCCACCCTCTTTCCCTGCACTGTTCAGGCAGTGTCTCAGGACTGTGGGACAGCACTTCCACTTAGGTTTAAAGTGCTTTTTCCACTTGTGCTGTATGTACAAACTATTGATCTAGTGAGTTACCACCCTCAAACCCTGTAAAGATGATGAGTATTTTGTAGTTGTCAGGGATTTACATGAAGTCAGTATGAGTAGTCAGGATGCTAAATTTTATCTGATACATGGTTCATCTTTCACTTTCCATTGAGGAGTGGTTAGTACGTGATAATTTGTGATCATGTTTTATGCCCTAATGTCTTCTTCTAAGGCTAAATTAAAAAATAAAGAGAAAGAAAGAGATAAGAACAAAAGGGAAGAATAAGAAAAGGAAAAAATGAGGAAGAAAAATGTTGAATTTCTTTATAAATATGTGACAACTTTTCTCACTTTATTTCTGGCTTGGGGGAAATCATCTCCAAAGAACCTTCTTGTTAAGGGTTAACCCTTCAAGTTGGCACTGAAAAAAATTACAAGACACAGGCAAGAGAATCATATGTTGTTAGAATTCTGTTACCTGCTAGGAGTTTTTCTGTAGAACATGCTACAGCCATTTATAGAATAGCACCACACATGGTAAGCTCCCTGTCTACATGGATCTTTTGCCTAAGTGAGCTATTTAAAGTAACCTTCCAGTATAAAAAAATACTCAACATCTTTAATCAGAAATGCAAAATAAGACCAGAAGATAATCATTTCCATTGTTAAGAGTTGCTGTCATCACAAAGGAAAATAAGTGTTGTTGAAGATATGGAGGAAATGGAATCCTTGTATACTCTTGGTTGGAATATACAGCCATTGTTGAAAATAGAATGACCTTAAAAGATTAATGTAGGCGGAGTTTTTTGTTGGGACTGCTGGCTCCCAAATAACCACCCAGAGACTCCTTATTAATTATGAAAGCTCAGCTGATGCTTAGGCTTTTTTTAAAGCTATATCTTATAACTTAATAAATTTCTATTAATCTATGTGCTGTCTCCAGGCTCATTTACCTCATTTATGTACTTTCCATGCTGCTGCTTCTGCATCTAGCTCAAGACCCTCAGACTCCGCCCTTCTTCCCAGCATTCTCTCTGCCCTGAAAATCCTGCCTAGCTATTGGCCATTTAGCTTTTTTATTAAACCAATCACAGTGACATATAGCCACACAATGTAAAGGAATATTCCACAGATTAATAAAACCATTAAGTGATCTGATAATTCTACTGAGATGTATGGTCAAAGGAAGTAGACTCATATGGAAAGGTGAGCTGCCTCTCATGCTCACTGCAGCATTACTCTCAGTTAGCTAGTTAGAGTAACAAATTACAGTGTGTACATATGTGGATGAACAGATGTGACACATATAGTAGAATATTCTTCAACCTTAAAAAATCTTGTCTCTTTGACAGCATGAGTGGTTCCAGAGGCCACTTTGCCTGGGAAATGAGCCAGACATGGTCCTGCATCATCTCTGTGACATGTAAACTCTTAAAAGTCAAATGAACACAAACAAAGAGTAGTCTGGTGTTTGCTAAGGGCTGGGGAGTAAATGGGGTGATGTTGGTCAGTATAGAAAGTTTTGGTGAGTTTTTGAAACCTCTTGTACAAAATGATGGTCATAGTTAAAAATACTGTATTGTAAACTTGAAATTTATCAAGAGAGTGTTCCTCCATGGACAAGGACAGCTCTCTGAGATGATACTAGGTTAATAAAGCTTAATTGTAGCTTCATTTTACAGTGTGTGTGCTTTTAACCATATACACAGACATAAATATGTTATACCCCTTAAATCAGTGTTTCTCAACCTTCCTAATGCTTTAACGCAACTCTTTAATACAGTTCCTCATGTTGTGGTGACCCACTCCTCTGACCATAAAATTATTCCATTGCTACTTCATAACTGTAATTTTGCTATTGGTATGAATCTTAATGTAAATATCTGATATGCAACCCCCAAAAGGGCCAAGACCCACGGGTTGAGAACCATTGCCTTAAATATAATTTTATCTGTCATACCTCAGTGATGAAGAAACAATAGCTTTCCCAAATGGTGTTTTAAACAGAGAGAATATGAATGTAACAGTTATATAAAGGAGAGAATGATTCTTTGAATTGCTTTCCTGTGTAAAAGGGAGGTTTAAAGCTGTGCACCTGATGAGAGGTGCTTGGATGGAACACACCTGCTCAGCCAGAGTTTTTAGGTATCACAGTTAATCAGGAATGTGAGACATCCCTGCTTGCCCAGGCAACTAAAGAGAGAAGTGTGTGCTTCCACACAGCAGCCATATTTAACAGCCAAAACTAGAACCAATCCAGATATCCATTAGCAACAGAGCAAAAATAATAATGTGCACTTACATGCCATGGAATACTGTATAGCAGCTCACAGCAGGGAGCCCCAGGTCTATATTGCTCTTTGGTTGGGTTTGGATCTATGAGTGAAGAGGACAAAAACTACTGCCAACACCCCGAAGTTAGGTGGTAAAGAAATGGGCAGTTCCAGCGAGGGTGACTGTCAGTCTCTTTGGAAAATGTCCCAGAAGCCCTGTCATAAAAGTGCTCATACTGCAAGGGAGCTGTGAGCTGTATCAGATGCCTCTAAGGTCAGATAAGATTGAGACTGGAGGTGTCCACTGGGTGTGTACTATGGAGGTCATTAGCCAAAGTACTTACCATGCCTGACTTTAGCGAACCTTAACAGTTCCAGCAGTCACTGCAAACCTTCATACTTAAAAACGAAACAACGCGTGCTTCTGACTCTCTCCCTGATGCCACTGCTCCATTCCCAGCTGGCACCACTCTTCCCCCATCTCTCCAACTCCCCTCCTTATGAATGCCCTTGCTTTTTACTTGAAAAACAATGCTAGGTCATTCTCATTTACCCTGCTCTGTCTAGATCACAAACACTGAACTGATTTTAAACAGCCAGGACAGAGCCGTTTGCCTTTCTAACTCTGAATGGGTCTGTAGACTGGTTTTCATAACACTTGTTTACATCAAATGTAGAGATGTTTTCCGTTCCCTGCAAATTTGCCTCTTAATTTAGACAAATTTCTCGTGCCTAAACATCCACCAGAAAAATAACCATAAATAGTTTAGTGCTTCATATCTAGAAGGAAAAATAAAGATTCTCTCTCAAAACCAGAACAAAGTAAAACGTGTTCTTCAAGCTTCCAGCCTGTGTAAAGAAACTCGGTGTTTCCCTCTTGTGTGCAGGTGCCCCGTTCAGAAGCTCTCACACTCCTTGGTTCCCTCGTCTGCTTCCCAAATACCTACCGGGAGATCCCTCTGCTGCAGTCCGTGCCAGAAGTGAGTGAGGTCATCCCAGGAACTGAAGATGTCAAGGTACATAGCTGAATCTTGAGTTTAGTATCTACAGCTGGAGTTCATCACCGTCTTCCATCCTATGCACTGATCTATTTTCCCCTGACATTTGCTGTTTCTTTTGAAAGCTTCAGTAGTCGTTTTCAGAAGTGAGTTGTATGAACTGTGAATGTATCACATTCACAGCATATTGCAATTAGACCTGAGAGCCCTGTTCCTCTGGTGTTTTTTTTTTATTAGTTCTGTTTATTGTTCCTAGAGATCATAATTATGTAATGAATCATCATTTGTAGTAATTCTGTTAGCTTAGTTATGCTGCATTAGTGTAGCAAATGATTTTATAAGAAATAATTCCAGTAAGTTAAATATTCAATCCCATTGCTGGCCTGATTAAATGCTACTAATAACCTGAAATTCCAAATTATTTCTTGGGGAATAAAAGTAAGCATTTTTTTTCTGTCTTCAGCTGACATTTGAAGCAAACAGAAAGTCCCAGCACCAGTCAATCAATCTGTAACCCTGATTATAATCTGTAATTCAATGTGCAGTGTGTAATCCAATCAAAATAAAATGGAGATTTTCCTATCTGGAAGTCTCAAATGCTTTACTTGATTTCCACTGGATCCCTAGAAATGCTGTGCTGCAGGCTGGCTCAGTTACCCAGGGAGGCACTTGCTGAGGCGAGCCAAGTTCTCTCTGAAGGAAGGGCTGCCCAAACTCCGTGACCTTTCACTAGCTCCAGGGTGCCTCTGACATGGTCAGCACATGCGGGAAACCAACAATGACATCACATTTTCATTTACTGAATTTTGTGTTTTTAGCATTACCTCATAAATATTTTACTGAAGAATGCTACCGAGGAACCAAATGAATGTGCAAGGTAAATGATGAACAAGAGGTAAACTATGTTAGACTTTTAAGATGCACATTTATGTCTAAACAGTTACTGTTTAAAAAAAAAACCCTTTCCATTTCTCTTACACACAGTGAAAATGTATAGTAAGCATTATGTCAGAAAGATGCTGTGCTTAGCTGCTTATAATGTCATTATTATTAGAGAAAAGAGTAAGATGCAGAGTAAGATCGCGTATACTGTGTTTTACATAAAATGCAAGATTAGAAATAAGTGATGTTTTCAGAAAGAGGGAGGGATAAAGCAACAGTTCATAAAAGCTGTATGTTTCGGGCAGAGATTCTAAACTCATTTGTACCTCGAGACATTTGGCAATGTGTAGAAATATTTGGGTATTTCTACCAAGCAGCTAAGACTGCTTCAGTCTGTGACCAAGATAGGGGGCTTTCTAGGCCAGCTATATGGTAAGAAATCCCTCCCTCTCCTCTCAAGGTGCAGGCCAAAGCTGGGAATGCTGAGAGAGAACATCCACCTCTCACTCAACTTCCAACCTTGTAAGGCCACTTCAGCCTCTGACTGCCTCATGGCAATTAGCACATGTCCTGGTTCATAACTTTACTGTCTTGTGAACTCTGCTGATTTTAAAGTTTATTAACTTTTATATTTTTCTGAACTTCACTTGCCTTCAGTAGATGGATTAGTCCAGTTTTCCTAGTCCGCCATTTTCAGAAACTATGCGTTACCAGTTTGCTAACATTGAACTAAACTTGGGTATGAAATATCCCCATCTTGATTTATAGATTCTGGTTCAGGTAATATTTTGTTCAGGAAGTTACATTACATCAAAAGTCTATAATTTTCTAGTCCCATCAAGCCCTCACCCTGTTTGGGTGTCACGCAAGGGAGTCACAAAACAAGGAACGTATTCTTCCCCCACTCAGAATATCTTTTGCAGCAGTAGGATTATTGTATCCTGTATATTAGTAGATCTCACTAGCATAAGTGTCCAAGAAGTTGTCCATCTCATCTTTGCTGTTAAATATTTTGTGTATTCTCTGGCTGTAAGGCTAGTCTTGTTGGATTTATCACTGTTACTGTTTTTGTCAAACGGTTCGTTTTTGTCTTTCCTCTTCCGAGTTGTTTTCATTTTCAGCTTTGGGCTCCTTCTTTATACTCTTCTGTTTGTGAGGTTATTCTTCTGTTGCTTTTTAAAGATGCATACTTGGTGTATTTTTAACTTTTCTCCTTTAGCATTAAAGACTTCATGTTTGTTGTTAAGGGCTACCTTTTCCAAACCTTGTTAAGTTTTAATATGCAGTATTTTTTAATTCCATTTTTTTTCTACTTTTCATTATGATTCCTTCATGGGCTCATGAGGAGTTTTTTTTTTATTAATTTCCAAATATATAGTTATTTCTATCTTAAAAATTTTTAGACTTACCTATTTTTTAAATTTTATGTGTTAGTGTTTTGCCTAGAACTAGAGTTATGCATGGATGTGAGCTACCATGTGGGTGCTGGAAACTGAACCCCAGTCCTTTGCAAGAGCAACAAGTACTCTTAACCACTGTCCCATCTCTACCCTCTATCTCTATCTTTTTTTGTCTCAAGTAATTACAGTGTAGATCAAAATGTGTGCTTGATGACTGTGTTTTAAGTTGTTAATATTTGCTTTAGGACTCCATGTGTAGTCAGTTTTAGCAGATGTCCCATATATTCTTGAAAAGAATGTACATAAGGGCTGGAGAGATAGCTCAGTGGTTAAGAGCACTTGCTGTTCTTCCAGAAGACTTGGGTTTGAATTCCAACACCCACATAGCAGCTCATAATCATCTGTAACTCCAGTCCCCAGTGACCCAATGCCCTTTCCTAGCCTCCTTCAGCACTACAAATATACATGCAGCCACAATACCTATAAGCATAAAATAAAAATGAAAAACACTGTACTTAAAAAGAGAAAGAAGAGAATTACACACTGTTCTTTAGTCATGGGGTATACTGTTCCAGATGTAACCTTACAGAGGTTCACATATTCTGCGTTCCTTGTGGACTTTATTTTGTTTTTATTAATTTGATCATTTACTAAAAGGTATGTTAAAAGCTTTCCACTTGTTGTTGTACCTTAATCTGTTTCCTGGAATTCCTGTCAAAGGCTATGATGTTATTAATTGCATAGGCATTTGGAATTGTCCTATCTCTGTAGTGAGTCAAATGTATTTATGTTTAGATGGCCCTCTTTATTTCTATGGATGGTTTGTTTTATTTTAAAGACCACTTTACCTGCTCCTGATTTTATACTGTATAATACTTTTTATCTTTTCAAAATAGCTTTTCTGTATTCTCTTTATGATTCTTTGCAAAAGCTGTATGTATCTGGATTTTATGATTGTATAAATTTGTGTGCTCCTTGTCTTTTAATGGAGACTTTATTTAGTTCATATGTATTGATCTTTTGGATGTGTTTTTATCTTATTTAATATTTTATTTTTAATTGGAACTCCTAAGCATTTTCCTGTTTATTACCTTTTTTCCTGCCTCTTTTCTATGCTTTTTTTTTCCTTTTTGGCTTTTAGTTTTTCTTTTCCATTGCAAATTTCATTGTCCTAGATTTCCATTCAGTTCTCATAAAGGTTGTTCTAAAGATTTTACTGTGATTTTTTTAAGTCTTGAAGTTAGTCTGCCTTTACCCACTTCTAAACAATGCCTGTCCCCTGCAACAGAATCTGCTTTCCTCTGGCAACTGCTCCTTTCCTGACCCCTGTGCTAACACCCCTTCTCTGTCTAACTTCTCCATATTAAAGTGACCCAGTGACTGAGTCTGGGCCTAGCCTTTCCCCGTGACTTTCTGCATGTCTCACACATTCTAGTCAGTCTATAACTGCTTGTTGATCATTTTCAGTTTATTTTCCTGGCCTTTTTAATGAATTTCTTGCATAGCCAGGTTTAGATATTGAACTCCTAACATCCAAATGTAACACAGCCATAACTGAATCTTCTAGTACCTTCTGACATCCCCTGCCCTATTAAGCCTGATGCCCCTCAGATTTCATCTCAAAAAAATGAAAATATTTACTCAGGTTTTCAACTCAAAGTCTTGTGGAATATATCTGATTTTTTAAAATCTTCTCATGCCTATCAAATAATCTTTGTAATTCCTTTCCCCTAATTTGTTTTATTTATGGAAAGTCACATTTCTTTGAAGAATAGCTCATACTAGCATGGTGTTTAGAAGAAATAATAGTAAAAATGTATTTATTTTGAAATTTACTTTAAAATAAAATATAGTGTTTGTCTTACATTTGACATGTATACTATACACTTTATAAGGGAATTTTCAGTAATCTAAGTTCCATGTCTTTTGTTCCTCCTCAAAATTATCTTAACAATAACAGTTTAGAGTCAATAAGAATGGGTGACATGGATTGTGATAGTTAACAGAAAATCTGCCACTTGTTTCATAAAATATTTAAGTACTAACTAGCATTGGTGATTCTGTTTATCCTGAAAACTGGCCCACTGGAATTTTTTTTCTTTTCTCTCAAGGGAAATATTCTGTTAGTATATCTATAATTGTTGCTTCTTTGAATAAATAGATTTATTTTGTCATTTAAAAAATATATTGAACTTCATGAGTGTTTTCCTCCTTTTGCTTCTCTTTTGAAAGATGCATCGCCATTTGCTCCCTCGGGGTCTGGATCTGTGAAGAGCTTACACAGTGTGCCAGCCATCCTCAGGTGAAGGATGCCATCAATGTGATAGGTGTGACGTTGAAGGTATTCCCATTTCTTAATGCCTTGTTGACATTAAACTTTCTCCCAGGATTTTAACCACTTTTAGTTTTAATTAGTCTGTTTTGCAGCTCCCTGTGTTATAGAGAGACAGTGACAGTGGCTTACAAGCCCCATTCTGAGTGCCGTGATAAATATTCTGGGAGGCTGCCAGTGGCTGCCTCACTGTTGACAGCTGTTCTTGGGTCATTTATAGTTTGTTTGTGGACCAAGCCTAGGCCAGTTGGGTCTCTTCTAGTGGCTGGACATCTTAGGATTTAAGAAAGTGAGGTTTCAAGCTGTGACCTCTTTGGCATGACTGAGATAGGCGCCTACAGCTTCCTTCTAGGAACCTGGGTGTTTATCTGCTGTCTGAACATAAGGCATTTGGGGGCATTGTCCTTCTTTGCTTTGTTATTGAGAGATGTGCAGTTTGTTGAGCATCACATGAAGCTAGGATATTGGTAATCTCTAGATACTTTTTAGAGTTTGTGTGATAGCTCTGTAAGGTGAGTCCCTGTTTTACACCAGAAGAAATCAAGTCCCAGAGAAATCCACTCACAAGTCCAAGGCAACGGGCATGAGTGACAGAGCCAGCATTGAAAGTAGATATGTGTGGCATAAAAGACATAATTGAACTTCCACTTGTGCAGTTAGGCTGCTTCCTAAAGCAGAGCTTGCATCCCGCCCTTCTTGGTTCCTGTGCAGAAACAGTAGACATAATTAGCACTCTTACTATCAAATTTGCAGAACCAGTGAGTCTCTGCCAGACACTGTGCCGAGGGCTTTGTGGGAGTTCTCAGTGGCAAGGGAAGTGTTCCTATTTTACTAGTGAAGGAGGGAACTGATATGCAGGAGATAGAAGGAGCTTATTCAGGCTGTAGGAGGATTCAGCTGAATCTGAATTGAAACTCTGCACCATCTGTCCAGGCCCTTTTTCCTCTTCTTGAAGCTATGATAGTAACAATGATTACGCAGATTCTAGGCAGTTGTTATTAGACCAGTGGCAACCCTGTTTGCCCTCTGTGTATTGTCTTCTTTGGCCCATGGGTTGATCAACCCACAGTGTTCTTCATCCTTGGAATAGAACACTGTGGTCTGGCCCCTGCCTGACCAAACTCAGTACCTCTTGTTCCTCGCCTGTGTCCTTTACTCCCTGTCACCTCATCCCCCATCCCTCCTGTATAACACCTGGTTGTATCTTAGAAGCTGGGCAAGTACCTGCTACTAATCCCTTGATGAAGAATGTAAGAATTGTAAACACTGATGCCACATGGCAGTTTCCTCTGGCTGGCCTGGCCCTTGCCATCATATTTAATACTGGGAACTATCTCAGGAGGTGAAGTGACACTGTTACCTGTACTTAACAGATGAGGGAAATGGACTGACTGAGATCCTTGCTAGGTCCAACCAGGATGCTCTGGCCTCATGCCTACCTAGGGTTTTATATAACTTCAGTGTACAGGATTCTGACTTCCAAACCACAGAGGAAAAAATACTGGATATAAGTTGTTGATTTGTATGGATCTCAATTCATTTTTAAATACCCCATTTTCTCAATTCTAAGATGTTTTTCAATTTTTTTTCCTTTTCTGAAACCTAAACATACACATTTAAGTTTGTTCCCTAGCTCTAGCCTTTACTTGAGAACACTGTTAATAATCTGATGTTATCTTAGACATGTGTAACTTCCTATATAGTATAGAACAGAGATAGAAATTGATAATAATAATTGAGCAGCACTGGCTGCTCTTCCAGAGGACCCAGGTTCAGTTCCCAACACCCACAGTTTGCAACTGTCTGTAACTGTGGTTCCTGGGGATTTGATACCTTATTCTGGCCTCCAAGGAAACCAGGCATGCACATGGTGCTGGTTTACATGTAGGCAAAACACCCATACATATTAAATAATTTATTTAATTTAGAAGGTTTGATAATATCAGAGGAATAGAATCACAGATGAACAGATTCACTTCTTTGAATGTTTATGAATTCTCAAAATGTCTGCCACATTTCTGTAATTATGAGGGAAAACAGGAGGTACCAGGAAAACAATCCAGTGATACGTGTTGTGCCTTTGCCCTGTGAGTGCCCTCATAGTGCCAGATCGTTCCACCGTCGATGCGTAGGTCTGACTACTCTGGCCCACCAGACAGACACAGCCTGCTCCATAGCAACCCCAGTTCCTAGAAAGTGTAGGCGATACTCACCTGCTGTACTCATGCTTCAGCTCTCCGCCTTTAATTCAGTGTTGGCACACTCAGTCCTTCCCAGTGGTGAGTGAGTGATTTCTTTTATCCCTACCATCCTTCGCCTCTCTCACTGTGTATGCAGACTGCTACTCCATTGGCAGTCCCTGTCTCCGGATCCTTAGCTGCCTCAGAGCCTGTGCCTCCACAGCACATGCATAGTGCTGCTCCTCTAGAGGGAAACCAGTTCTCCGTCTGTATCCTTCCAGAGCTGCAGTCCTCCATCCTACCACTTCCTCTCTGCCCCATCTCCCCCGTTCTGCCGTAAGGCCTTTGGTCATGTCTCCCACAGCTCTTGTCTCTTTCCCCTTGTCTGTGTCCAGCTTCTTAAGAGCTTTATTAGCACCCATTCATTCTTCTTCCCCTTGAACATGACGTGTACACCTCACTGTTATCCCTGCCAACAGTGATAACAATGGAAGAAAACAGTAAAATGCATTACCATCTCCTGTGGAGGAAATGAAGCAGGATGGATGCTCTTCCAACTGAAGAGCAGGAAGGTGTGGACTGCTTTATGGAGATGATGAAATTTTGTGTGAGGATCTGAACAATATAGTAGTGCCAGCTACACTAGACCTGGGAACTAGAAATTTGAAGCAAAATGAAGAGCAAGTACAAAGGCCCCAGGACAGAAACACCCAAGGTGCTTGAGTGGGGTAGGAGGCCAGTGGCGGTCAGGTCCTCTGGAGTTTAGATGAGGGAGGAAGGCTGTGAAGAGCCTCTGAATGCTCATGTGATTTAGATTAAGCAGCACAGGCATCTACAAGCTATGTGCTGTCAATAATAAGGTGTGGCTAGCAGTGTAGCCTCTAGGTTCTGGCTAAGACTGGAAGCACAGGTGTCCTCATCCCATTTATGTATACTCAGCGTGATGACCAGGACTTTGCACATATTACCTCTTTGGCACCCACCTCACAAAATAAATAAATACATAAGTAAATAAATAATAATCCGGCGGTGTCTTAGTTACTTTTCCATTTTCTATAAAGAGACACCATGCTGAAAGCACCTTATAGAAGGAAGAGTTTATTAGGGCCTACAGTTCCAGAGGGTTAGAGTCCATGACCATCATGGCAGGGAGCATTACAGCAAGCAGGCATGGCACTGGAGCAGCAGGTGGGAGCTCACATCTTGAGACAGCAGCCATGAGGTAGAGGGAGATCTAACTGGGAATGGCATGGGGTTTTGAAACCTCACCCCCAGTGACACACCTTTTCCAACAAGGACATACCTCCTAATCCTTCCTGAACAGTTCAAACTATTGAGGACCAAGCATTTAAACATATAATCCCGTGGAGACCATTCTCAGTCAAACTGCCACATTCCACTCCCTGACCCCCATACATGAAAGTGGCCATATCATAATGCAAACTGCCTTCAGTCCAACTCCAAAAGTTCCCATAGTCTTTCATGGTCTCCATACAGTTCAAAAGGCCAAAGTTCAAAGTCTCTTCTGAGACTCAAGGCAATCTCTTAATTGTAATCCCATGTAAGTTACAAAAGCAAATGTAATACTTCCAACATACAATGGCACAGAATATACATTTACTATTCCAAAGTGTGTGTGGGGGGGAATCAGGGCATAGTGAGGAAATAATGGAATACTGAAGCCTGGCAGGGCAAACTCCAAATCCTGTAGCTGTATGTCTGATGTCAAGAAGTCAGATGGCTCTGTCCTTCCAGTTTTACTGACTGAAACATATATTAGCCTATGAGGGCCATTCTCATTCAAGCCACCACAGACAACTTTGGGAGACACACCCAGTCATTGAACATACCCTAGTCCATGGGTTATGTCCTTAAAGTCTGCTTTTCCACATTTCTTAGTGTGTTACATGTGTGTTCTTTTATTTCCTCAGGTAGGAAGCCATTTGATTAATCCCTGTTTCTCTCTGTGTGAAATGAAGATAGCATCTTCCTTACAGAGCTGTCAATGACAATTTGTCAATGACAGAATGAGTTACATTTGTGTAGAAGGTTCAACACACAGAGGACACTCAACCATAGACTCTAATTTCCTCAAGTTGTCAATAGTATGATTTATATTAGCTGAATACAGAATTTTAAACTTGGACTTTTCATTTCTAGGCAAACAATGGCCACCTTTTTCTTCAGATCTATAAATTAATGTAGGTGATTCCAAACAATCAGCAGTGTAGACTGATGGAGTGGCCATGTGCAAATGATGTTAATTGGACATAGTTTTCATCAATTGCACATGAGATACGTGTATAGGGCTGGGAAGAGCAAACAGCCCTGTTCTTCCTCCAGAACACACAGCTGCTGAGCTGCTCTGTTTACTTGGGGGTTTTCATTCCTTTTGTAGTTTCCTAACAAGACCGTGGCTCAGGTAGCCTGTGATGTTCTTCAGCTGCTGGTTTCCTACTGGGAAAAGCTTCAGATGTATGAAACTGCTCTACCGCGAAAAATGGCCGAAGTAAGTCCTTTATCTGTAATGCTAAAGCATCCGTATTTCCTTCTTAATAATGTATTTGATATCTAATTAACTGTAGATCCTCAAATAATTGTTAGAGAAACAACTATTAAACTGCCATGTGAGCCCCGTTTTCAGGCGGTGTTGGCTGGCTCTTCTCAGCTGCAATTCTAGGCACTGTGCAAAGAAGCCTGCAGTGTTCCAAGGCAGAGGCTGATGCTTGGAGAGTTTGAAAGGCAGACACAGCCACAACAAAGAGACCTTTTGTAGGTTGGGCTTTATTCATTGAGAGTAATTTGGATGGTGCCAACAAGGAGTAGGCAGCTGGTTTAATGCCTTCCTTGCAGGGCGGGGGCCTGGCTGTTGTGTAAAGCAGGAGTTGTTCCCAGACTAAAGCCCTGGGCCACGCTTGCTGCTATGGCATGGCTACTCCGCAGTAATGAGATCAGTGCAGTATTAACCTCTGAGGGGGAGGCGGTTAGGAGAGGAGGCAGGAGTAACAGGAAGTACTCAACCACAGCTTCTTGGAGGTCAGCTATAGCCAAGGAGTCTTTGCTCAGAGCCTAGTGGAGACTAGCTCACAGGTGCCTGCAGTTTTTATAACTGTACTTCTTCAAGCAAGCCCTGTTTTTTACCCATCCAGTGGAGACTGAGGAAATTTGATTTGTCCCCATGACAGATGGCAGGGAGAGAGAAGAAGTGATGCAGATTCATTTCCTCCCTGCCCTAGACAGACTTCATTGGTTGAGATGGCTTTGTTCTTTCAGAATCACATCAAGAGTCACAAGTGGTTTTTGACCTGAAGTGACCTGGAGTAAAATAGACCTTTTACTCTGATGCAGAATGTAAAGTTGGGTTTAGTGCCACTGTGTAATTATCTAAACAGGATACCTGTGAGAATGAATGGCATGCTGTGATGTGGGAACAGGAGGAGGAGACCTGTGCTAATTTATAATAGCAAATGGGAACCTTTTCATAATTATTTTTGAAAACTTTTTTTTCACTCCACTAGAAATGTAGGACTAATAGTAGGTATTTTGTGACTATAGAGGGAACTATTCCTTCCCTTGAGGTCTCGATCTCCCACCAAAGAAGTAGAAACCATTACATATCATTATTTTCAGATCTCCTACAACTGGCCCTATTATCGTCCAGTGAGTGTTTAGCTATGTTTAGTTGCAAGGTCATCTTGGGATTTTTAACATACGGCTTCTAAACTATCATGGTCTGCTTGATTGGGTTTTATCTTTTGTGCAGATACTCGTGGCCACAATTGCATTTCTTTTACCAAGTGCAGAGTACTCCTCAGTGGAAACAGATAAAAAGGTAAGTGACATATTAGGTAGTTTTCCCTCACACTTATTTTTAAATATAAGACAAAATGGTAACTAATTTTACAAATGATGGCGTCATTTATTACATCCTTATATGTTGGCTTTAGCATTCTTTCCTATGAAAGCCATTTTTGTTTACTTACCCTGCATTTGTGTGTCCATTGAATATTGAGCAGGGACAATCCTGTTTATTTTTACATGCAGTGGGTCCTCAGGGACATAGAGTGAGATTCTGGATATATTTCTTCTTCTAGTTTATTGTGTCCTTGCTCCTCTGCCTCTTGGACTGGTGCATGGCTCTGCCTCTGAATGCCCTTCTCCACCCGGTGTCCACGGTGGTCCTGGAGGAGCTGCACCCACCCCGGGCTCCCTTGCTGGATTATATCTACAGGGTGAGTCTCCTCTAAGCCTTGAGTACAGATGGTGGACCTATGGATTAAAAATTATCAAAATGTTGTGTATTTATGTATTTGTGCCTTCTGAAAAAGACCAGTGGAAGGTTAAGTATTTGGAAAGAAATGAATAATTAATGAACAAGCAGAACAGATGCAATTGCAGAAAGCCAGTAGTTGCCAAGGTGAAGATGCATACATTTCACATGACTGTCATCTTTAAACAATTACTATTTGATCAGAATGCCCCCAGTCTTCATGGCACGTGATTTCTGCCTACTTAAGTTCAAAATGGACTATTGATGTTGTAGGAGGGTCTGCAGCATCCAGAGATCTGTTTTTCAGAGTAAGAAAAGAAAACCATAATGCTTCTAGTAATCTCTTTGCCTTAAAGAAACCTCAAGGGGCAGGTGTGGTGGTGCAGGCTTGTAATCCCAGCACGTGGGAGCATGAGAGCAAAAGGATTGCCTTGAGTTCAAGGCAGCCTAGGCTACATAATGAAACCCTGTCTCACAACCAGAACCAAACCAAAACGAAAAGAACACAAAGGGAAAAAATCCTTTGGATAGGAGTTAAGAAATCTCACTTTGTGAGAAGTGAGAGACTTTAAAATCTGTGTTCAATTTACTTTTCTTTAATTATGCTTTGAAAATGATATTAAATTATCCCTTATAATATGTGGGTTCATACGTTGTACTGATTTAAACTCAGGTTGTGGTCACCCTGCCCTCTACCGTGAGGGCTTTCCCACAACCATCTTTCATCTCCTGGGCTGGGTCCTTCCATCTGTGTTGCCTTTGGAGGCTGATTGACTGAGGTGTGTGCAATCCCACATGAACAGAAACCTCACTTATGCTTTCTATGTGCCCTGAGAATGTAGGTATTATTACTGACTTGCTTGTAGCACAAAGATAGTTAGGAATGGAAAGAACTCCGTATTGTGACATGTTCCTAAGTAGCAGTCCTGTCTCCCGGGCACTGTGGGGGGTTGGACAGTTTGTCAGGGGTCAGGAGGTGGTGGCATACTGAATGCCACCCCTGTCTGTTCTCCTCAGGTTCTGCACTGCTGTGTCTGTGGCTCAAGTACATACACACAGCAAAGTCACTACACCCTGACCTTGGCTGACTTGTCATCCACCGATTATGACCCCTTCCTACCTCTGGCAAATGTGAGGAACTCCGAGCCGGTCCAGTACCATTCATCAGCAGACCTGGGGAACCTGCTGACTGTGGAAGAGGGTACGTATGTCTACAAATACACAATCTTATGGGCAGGAAGAGGTAAGATTGTAGTCTTGTCCATGCTTGTGTTTGAGGTTTGTTTTGAATCTACTTATTAAAGTCCCAGTTTATAGACTCTCTTGTGGCAAACTACCGTCCCTGTTTCTTCCTCTTTTTGTCCTCTCTTTTTTCTCATCTTAAATTATTCACATGGTTTTGTATTACTGAAAATCACTCATACCCATGGAATGCAAAAAAAAAAAAGGTTGGGGGGACTCATTTTTCTTCCCCAGAAGTTTTACATCTGGTGGGGGAGATAGGATGATGCTGGGCTGGTAGCATCCTCAGGACTTCCCGTAGGGAAGAATTAAGCTAGACACAGCAGGGACGGCAGGCTTTGAAGGAGCTCATAGAGTATTCCAGAGCGGAAGCCCCTCGTGAAGAAAACTGGGAGCTTACTTGCCCCAACTTGGGGTGTGTTCGTTCCTGTGGCAGACAAGTCTGTAGAGAGTGTTAGGACTTGGCTGTTCTCTTGCCTCCTCAGCCACTGCTCCAAATGAGAGGCACCCAACGTAAGCCTTGGAATATAAGTCTGAAAGTGAGCGGGTCACTATAAGTGAGGCAAGTTTTCATGAAACTAAACATATAAATGTGTAAAACTGGTACATATTAATGTCCATTTCCTGGTTGTGGTATTGTACTGTATAGGTAAGATGTTACCCCTGAGATGAAGGGTTTTTAAGATCTCTTTTATTTCATATTATTATGTATGAATCTTCAACTGACTCAATTAACAGCTTGAAAATGTGGCTACAGAGTAGTGTACCATCACCCAAGGAAACTGCATGAAGCTTTTAAGTTTGAAAGCTAGGCCCAAGAAGGGAACATCATGGCAAAGCGTCCTTAAGGGAAGAGCAGTGAGAGGATAGCACCAAGTAAGTGAGGTCAGAGACGTGGAAAAGGACCAACATAGAGTCATTAGAGGTCATTCTTCGACATCAAGGTCAGAGAGTGAGTGGTCCAGAAGCAATTAGTAGTGCTGGGTGCTTTAACAAGCCCAGGGAAGGAGAGAGAGAGCAGAAAAAGGGCTGTTTTGCAAGGAAGTGTTTAGATATGGACTTAACCAGAACACTTAGTTCAGGGTGGCTTATGTAACTAGATAGCATGAGTTGGTGACCACTCAAACCTGGTCAGGTGAGAGTGCAGAGTGTACAGTGCTCCCTAAAATAGGTTCACTCCTGTATATTGACTTAGGCCATCACCTATTCTTTATATAATGACTACTTTTGAGTAAAGTTTTAATCAAGATACACAGTCCAGCCATCTGTGAGCATATGTGCTCAGATTGATCACTGCTAATAACTACTTAAAGTAGAAGGAAGGAGAAGGGCTTCAGGAGGTGAGAGGTCAAGCTTTGCATTTCCTCTAGGAATTTAGAGACAAGAAGATACTTGGAATCTTTTCCTTTTCCATAGTTTGTGGGAGCCCTGAGCTGGTTTTGTCACTGGTTGAATCCAGATCATCTCCAGTTCTCAGGGAATGTACAGGAAATAGACTTAGCTGAGATGTAGCAGGAGGAGAGGTCAGGGTTTCACACCTGCTCCTTTTCCTGACTTCAGTACCAGACCCATTTGGGGTTTATTAGATGTGTTGTTGTCGTGTCAGAGTTGGATATGACTCCAAGTCATTCTCCATTGTAGAATTCAAGTATTCACAAAATACAAATCAAAACCACAGCCTCTGTGAGCAGAAGAAGAGGGAAGGTGGTGTTCCAGCTGGTGTTTTCTTCCTTGGCCCTTTGTCATCTTGTACCTTTACCGTTAGTTTTATGCCTGCCCTGCTGTCATGGCAACGGCGTGTTTCCCATTATGAACTGTGAACTCCCGGCTGGTTTCATGTGGGCCTCTGGGGCAACAACATTTCTTAGCTGGAGCATTAAATTTCTTAGTTGTGTAGAAATCTTATATATTTCTCTTAGGTTGGGGAAAAAAGTTTAGGAAGAGATGTAAATGACCACTTGTGTGACATTTTATTGGGTATAGATTTCATGTACATTGAAAAATTTGATAAGAAACCCAAGAAAATTCAAGGTGATCTTAATCTCTTCACTCATTGCTCAGAATTTCTCAAATTTCAGAGATTTGTTTCTTTCTAGGGTTTTTATACAGCACAAAACAAGATGTTATATATATGCTGGTTGGGCAATGTCTAAAGCTAAAAGTATTATATATTTATATATAGTTAGAAATATACATATAGCATTTTCTAACAATATCAATGAGTTGTTTGTAGCACCGCTTTAAGCAAGTAGCTCCAACTGCGTGCAACTGCTTGGGGCTACAATATATAGTTGTATATTTATATATATTATAAAGTTATATATTTACAGTGATTTATGTGCTAATATTTGATTGTTCACATTGTGATTTTAAAAGCCAGTTACTTCCTAATACTCTTAGCTCAAATTATAAGCCTTAATTTAAATATTTAGACCTTTTCCCATAAAATTTTAAAAGTTACATTTTCACTTGTTATCAAATTGATGCATCAAATTTTATAAATTTGATAGATTGAAATTTCCTCAACTACTCTCAGCCTGAAGTACTCATTTCAATTTCTAGTTCTAGCTTTAGTATATCTGCCTTTCCATTTTACCTCATTTTGTAAAGCCCTACTACTTAGGCTGTGGTCAAAGTCTTTGTATACATTTAAGTTAAAATTTTATAAGTCAGTTGCTCTTGGATACTAAATCATCAAGTACAAATTTAGTTACGTTCTTCTAAGTGCCTTCATGATTTATTAATATGAAAAATTCTCTTAAATATTTTAAGTGCCCTAATAACAAAACATAAATTGTTGCAATGATTATTAAACAAATTGCTTCCAATCTTTAAATGTAACCCTGAGGTTTATTAATGTCCTTATTAGGTCTACCTTCATCCAACAGAGGAGTGCCACAGTAACCTCCCTGGCCCCAACTTTCTGGCCCCAACTGCCCCTTCAACCTGGTTTTTACCCTCATCTGAGCCCCTGAATCTTTATCTGTCTAGCATGGGATGCTTCTCTTTGGCTTATTCCTTTCTCTGCAGACTGTTTAAAGTCCCTTCAGAATGACAGCTTTATGTAAGTTGGTTCTTCAGCAGTCTGTTTCAACTATCTTTTAATTCAAATAGAATTAGTGTCAAAAGAAAAAACAATCTCACAGTTAAAAATCAAACATTCAGCTGGATGTAATGTTTAATCATCTTTAATCCTGGCAGAGGCAAGTGGATCTCTATGAGTTCCAGGCCAACCTGGTCTGAATAATGAGTTCTAGGCTAGCCAGTGCTACATAGTGGCACCCTGTCTCACAAAACAAAACAAAACAAAAATCAAATATTGAAACTATTGACAGAAATCTCGTGGTGGCCCCACTGTCTCCTCACATTTCCTTCTGCTGTTCACAGAGAAGAAGAGAAGAAGTGTGGAACTGATCCCCCTCACTGCACGAATGGTGATGGCCCACCTGGTGAACCACCTAGGCCACTACCCACTGAGTGGGGGCCCTGCCGTGCTGCACAGCCTGGTCAGTGAGAACCATGACAACGCCCACGTGGAAGGTGCTGAGCTGTCCTCGGAGGTGTTCAGGAGCCCAAACCTGCAGCTCTTCGTATTTAACGATAGCACCCTCATCTCCTACCTGCAGACACCTGCAGAAGGACCAGATGGAGGGACTTCAGGGGCTTCCCTCTCAGATGTGAGAGTCATTGTGAGGGATATCTCAGGGAAGTACTCTTGGGATGGCAAGGTTTTATATGGACCTCTGGAAGGCCACTTGGCACCCAGTGGAAAGAATCCCTCATTTCAGATTTCTGGCTGGCATCAACACACATGCGGACCTCAGAAAGATTTGTCTCACAGTGAGGAAGGAGATGATGCACTTGACAAACTACTTGAAAACATTGGCCATTCAAGCCCCGAATGCCTTTTACCATCACAACTAAATCTAAATGAGCCTTCCCCACCCCCATGTGGTATGAACTGTGACCAAGAGAAGGAAATTATTGAGGTCATCCTGCGCCAGAACATACAGGAAGATGAGTATCTTCAGAGGTGTAACTCTAATTCTGCAGTGAAGGTCACCAGCCAAGGGCAGCCCTCATCAGTGGAGCCCCGAGGACCCTTTTATTTCTGCAGGTTGTTGCTTGATGACCTGGGAATGAATTCCTGGGACAGAAGGTAACAGTGCTCTGAATCTTTTATCATTATTTCCATGTGAGGATTCTTCGTTTATCAATTTGAGGTTAAAGAATAAGAAACAGAGGTTTTTCTGGATTTCAATATTTACAGATTATTTTTAGCTACTGGATTACAGCTAGAAATAAAATTGAATGTGCTGTACTGGTATTCAGATTGAAATCCAAATACCTGTCAGTCGTTTGAAAGCACATGAAGCATTGTTTTCCTTTTTGTGTCCCTGACCATTACTATTTCTGTTTTCATACAAGATGCAAATGGACTGCAAAGGTGAGTAAACCACTGTCTAGCCACAGGATTGTGAGGGATGTGAACTTGATTCACCTCAGACAAAGGACAGAGTGGCACAGGAGGCCAAGAGGAGTAATTTGATCCAATGGGCAGTGTGGGCAGTGCTGGAAATCTCAGAGAAGAGGGTGGGTTTGAGCTGGACCTGATAGTGGAGTGGAGCTTTGGAGACAGGGTGGGGAAGAGATTCCCAGAGCCGACATTGAAAACAAACTTAAGCACACACACACATAAGGGGCATTCTCTTGACTGAAGAGCTTTCCAGTGTCACTAGAAGGCAGTGGGATACAGTGGCATTGTTATGTCTCTGCATACTCAAGGGTATTGGAGCTCATTTTGAAGACTTCTGAATTAGTTATTTTTCTTTTGCTATGATAAAACCCTATGAGTAAGGCAATTTATAGAAGAAAGAGTTTATTTTGGACATGTGGTTCCAGATGCTTAGGGGCCATAATGGCAGGAACAGCAGGTGGCACACATGACAGCTGGACAACACCTGAGAACTCACATCTGTTTGATAACAGGAAGCAGAGAGTGCACTGGAAATGTCACATGGCTTTTGAAATCTCAAAGCCTGCCCTCAGTGACATACTCCCTCCAGCAAGGCCACATCTCCTAAACTTAACTAAACAAGACCACCAAACTGGGGAACAAGTATTCAAATGCCCAAGAATATGAGGGACATCTCGTTCAAACAACTACAATATCTATCACAGTTTTTCAGTGAATGAGATAGTAGATGGATGGATGATGGCTGTCTTAGTTAGGGTCACTATTCTGTAAAGAGAGACCATGGCCATGGCAACTCTTATAAGGGAAAGTTTTTAATTGGGGCTGGCTTGCAGGTTCAGAGATTTTAGTCCGTTGTCATGATGATGGGAAGCATGATAGCACACAGGTAGACATGGTGCTGGAGAGGTGGCTTGGAGTCCAACATCTGGATCCTCAGGCAGCAGGAAGGGAGAGACACTGGGCCTGGCTTGAGCTTCTGAAACCCCAAAATCTACCCCCAGTGACACATTTGCTCTAACAAGGCCACACCTGCCCCAACAAGGACAGACATAACCTTTTCATAGCTCCATTTCCTGTGAGCCTATTCAAACTACCATAATGGCTATGTTTGGTAATGGGTTAGAAAGTAGCAAAGTTGGTCTGTGGTTACATGGATTTCTTCTTCCATCCTTTTTTTTTTCCCTTTGTAGGAAGAATTTTCATTTGTTGAAGAAAAATTCAAAATTATTGAGAGAGCTAAAGAATCTGGACTCACGGCAATGGTATGTGAAAGTATACTAAAATATCTTTCCTTGTCTATCTTTGTGAGCTCATGGTATCAAATACAATTTCAGGAAAGAAGGTCCCTACAGAGACACCAGAGTATTTCTGTAGCCCAAAATCTGCTGATATTGACCTTGACTGAACATTTGGTGTTTTGTTTGTTTTGTTTTTGAGACAGCAACTCTTTTAAGTGGCCAGGCTGGCCTACAACAAACATACTCTGTAGCCCAGGTAGGCCTTGAACAAGTAATCCTTTATTTTAAAAACAAAAACAAAACAAAACCTCCCATACCTTGTTCTCTTTTAACTTCATGGCTTCTTTTTCATTAATTGTTGCTAGTGTGTGTGTGCGTGTGTGTGTGTGTGTGTGTGTGTGTGTGTGTGTGTGTGTGTGTGTGTGCGCGCGCGCGCGCGCACTTAGATCAAATTCTCACTATATTTTATTCACTACATTTTTCTTTCATGTATATGTGTGTGTGTATACATAAGCGCATGCATGCAGCCTACTGAGTCTATTTAGTGTTGTTTATATGTATTATGTTTAAGGGTGACCACTTTGGAGTGATTTCTACAGTGGTTGTGCTGTATATTCCAATCAGCAATGAATAAAGTACCCTAAACCCCGACATCCTACCCTGTATTTTCTTGATGATAGCCATTCTGACCAAGATGAGATAGAGTCTTAAAGCAGTTTTAATTGACATTTCTGTGGTGGCTAAAGATGTTGGACACTTTTAAATTATTTAGAGGCCACTTACATTTCTTCTTTTAAGAATTATCCTGTTCATTAAACTATTTGTTGATTTGGGGTTTGATGTTTAATTTAGTATTCTTTATATATCCTATATATTAGGCCCTGTCTGACTTAGTTGTAAAAGTTTTTTGTTTTATCTCATTCTGCAGCTCTCTATTCAGGATGGTAATTCCCCCCCCCCACCCCCGCCTTGTTGTGCAAAAGCCTTTTGATTTTGTATGATCCCCATTTGATAGTTCTGGAATTATTTCCTCTGTTATTAGCAAATCCCTGTCTGTTCTTTTGTCTTGAACTATTTTCTGTTTTTCTCTGGCAACTTCAATCTAATGTGTACTTTAGTCCATCATAAATTGATTTTTATATAGGGTGAAAGATGGGGATCTAATTTCATTCTTCTACATGTTAAATAGGCTGGTTTTCTCCCTTGTGTGTGTTTGGCACCATGGTCAAAATGAAATGGTTGCAACTCAATGGGTTTATTTTGGGTTCTCATCCACTGGCCTGCATGGTGTTTGTTGGTGCCATGCTATTTCCTAAGCAAGCATTTTCACTATCATTTGTGTTCAAGTAGATTTCTTGTGGTTTTACTGTTTATTCTTAAGTAAATGCTTGGTTCATGTTCCTATTATTTGCATATCAGGTTTATAACTGTGATATTTTGTTGGTTGGTGGTTTGAATTCTTTTTTTTTTTTTTGGTTTGAATTCTTGAACCTAGGTATGACAATAACAACTAGTAAACTCCACTTGGAATTGAAAAAAGCATATGTGTGTGTGCTCGTGCACACACACATACACACACACCCCTTTAAGAGGACTTAATGAAAAAATATCTTTGTCACAACACAAATGATGCAGTCTTGGGGTCTTGATTGGGTTAATTTCCTTTGCCAGTTAAAGAACTAAAAAGCAGGAAAAATCTGAAGCACGACAGGCGGCCGCAGAGAAATCTCAAGCACCGCAGACAGGATGAGCAGTTGAAGAAAGGTGTGCATTGGGGGTGAGGAAACAGGCACATGGCAGACACACAGAGAAAAAGACCCTCTGCAGAGCAGAGCGGGGATCAGGAAGCTGAAAATCCAGTATCTGCCTGAGGTCTTGGGGTTTTAAATCCTCTTAGAGCGTTCTTCCCTACTTTAGGGCTGGTCAATTTGAAGATAGATAGGATGCTTGATTAGTCCACAACTGTTGTGTGGCATGTCGTGGTCCAGCCCTGAACTTGTTGAGCCAGTCCAACAGTAGTGGGCCTGATGGGGGGCAGCTGCCAGGCTCTTGTCTCAAGTCAGGAGGCTGAGGAAGAAGCTGACCATCTTGGAAATTCACTACCTTTATTACCTTGCTTCTCTCTCTGCGTCCTGGTCTCACCAAGGACTCAGCAGATAAAATCATATTAAGCTTACTTATAGCTGTATGTCCTTTCACTCCTTCAGAAGCATTTAGAATTAAGATACATTAATTCATATGGACCATTATATAGGAATCAAAAGACTATATAGGGTTTTTTTTTCTTTTTTCTTTTCTACCTTCCCATGTATCTTTATCATCATTCATGGTTTCTTAGAGTCACACACATGTTGAAGCATGTACTTGTTTTTTATGTTTTCTGAATGTTGGGAATGTGCCAGGGTGCCTGTAGTGAGCCTCATTCCACCTGCAGAAGGTGATATGAGGACCTTTCCTCCTGGCAACTCTACTACTTTGCAGAGTGGTAAGCATCTTAGTTTTAAGAAATAAAATTAAAAGAAAAAGAAAATATACAAGTTTAGATGATTCATTTGTGGTTGTAACTGAAGAAAGAACCCACCCTTGGGCAGATCCTGCAACTCCATTGGTATTTTAAATGGCTTCATTTCTTGATTCAAGTAAAGCTTAATTTAAATTTCAAAAATGTTTAAAAAGTGCTTTCGACCCTGCCATTTCTGTACAGTCTTTCTCTCCTTGCTCTCTCCAGGACAGAGACTGGGCCCTCTGGAAATTCCATGAGGGATTTCTGCAGGGCTCAGGCACTTGTTTCACTCAGTCCTGCCCTTCAATGTTAAACAAACAATCATTTGGACCCCAAACCCAGCTTTTCCAGCACACGCTGAATTATCCCTGCTTCTCCAGTGTTAAGTGAATGCACTGGTATCTTGTAATTGTAGCCAATTTGTTGAATGTTAATGCACTTTAGTTGCATGAGGTGCAATTGAATTAGCTCCCTGGGGTGCTGTTGCAGTAAAATATGGCTTTGGGTAGCTGATTGGCAATCTTCTGCCCTTTGATTAACCTTCACTTAAAGCCCCAACTCTTGGACTTAGGTCGTATTGGCCTGTAAATGCACATCAGTTTATTTCATGGGAAAGGGTATTTTTCAAGATTGCCTTTTGAAAACCTGAATTAAGTCTGATGGCTCTTTACCTGTAAGAAATATAGCCTGTGCTATATAGATTGATCTGATACCAAGCAGAACACACCTTGTCCCCCAACTTTCAGGACATTTCCATTTATTCCCGGTATCAATTTATATCACTGTTGTTGGGGAACAGTGCCTTCTTCACATGTTCTGAGAAAAAAATAGTCTTGCAGCTAGGGTCTTTATACTGTGTGTGATGGCTGGACATACAAATCACTGTGAGCTTTCTTGCCGCTGTGTAGTGAAGGAAATGGTAAAGTCATGTTTTTCTTTGTTTGGTTCTTAAAACCTGACAGCACAAGAAAATGGAACTCTTCTGGTCTGTTCCTAGTAAGAAAGAAAAAAGATGCATTCAAATGAGGGAAGCTGTGTTGTTGATTTTATGTGTGTGTGTTCCTGAATTACCTGCTCCTTCGTGCACTGGTTGTGCAGCTTGTAGATATGAAGTGCTGTTGATGTTGTAATTACCATTTCAAAAGCCTGGCGCTAATAAGGCCAGGCACAGTGTCTGCATCTTAGCAGGCTCTCTGCAGTGCTAATATTTTGGAGGATGTGAAATTTGATGAATGTTTACAACTAGAGGTCACCTTTCCTCACACCCCCATCAGTCAGTCCTTCATTTGAGCTTAGCCCTCTGTGTTCCTACACTGAGTAAATGAGGACTCAAGGACCCAGGATGGAAAAATCCTGGGCTTTAAGGATAAAACACTGGTGTATTTCAGATAAACCTGTGGTTGTTTTTTTGTATGTCAAGTCTATAGAACAGAGAAAAATTGAATGCTAAGGACTTTTAAGTATGTAGAGAGAATTTCAGAAAGAATCAAGTAATTATGCTTTTGTTCTTTTGTTGCAACAACCTTTGAGGTAAAAGTTAGGATGTCTGCTACCATCATCTAAGCTGCCAAATTATTACAGCTCCTGTGATAAGCCAATCATATTGTAGGGGACCTTTCTTGTTGTCCCTTGCCTGTTTCTCTGGGCAGTTAATGGTATGGCAATTCCTAGACTCCCTAAGGTCCATCACTACCAGAAAAAAAAAAAAAATCCACCCTCTTTACAGCACCTCTTTGCATTTCCTAAAGTGGTGGCAGCTGTGCTGTTTGTTTACAGGTTCAAATTGAGAGTTCTTTTTCTTCTCTTTCTGTACTTTGTGATTCTTCTTCACATATACTTATTTTACGAGAATGATGGGGGAATGAATACCTAGCTAATGAATAGGAGAAAATGTTCCTCCTGTGATTTATGGACCTTTTTAGTTGAGCTTCAGTTAGCCTTGTTTAATAAGTAGAAAAAGAACCATGAAGAAGGAAATATTTGAGAATTTGTTAAAATATGGAGTCCAGATCTACCAATTTGAATGTCTAATCATATTATAGTGTTGAGATATTAAACAATTAGACAATAGAAACATTTCCGTGTTGTTGAAGCACTTGATGCTTTTTCCTATGCTATTTTTCATGATGTAATGTGAATATGAGAAGGGTGGGGCTGCCCCGGAAGTGGGGATCTAATTCTTTTACCATTGAGGCTGTGATAGAATAAAGCTCATGGACAATGGTGCTGTCAAATGAGGGATTCTTGATTAAGCTGCATCTGAACAACAGTTGAGCTTTTATCTCCAAACTGTCACCAAATTGCTTGATAGGGTTCCAGTTATTCTCTTACTTTACTCCTGTATCATTTGTAAAAAGTGTTGATTACACATTCACATATACTGTCATGTATCTGGTTAGTTTAACAGACCTAGCTGAGCTCATACTATGCACCAAATACTATACTGGATATGGAAAAGAAAAGATGGACAGGTCTCCTTTCTTCAAAGTGAATATTATGTTTATATGATTTAACAGGAGACTGCGACAAATCTATCACAGAGCAAGCAAATAGAGTGTTTATATATCCAAAAGAGTCTTCCCAGAACAACTGTCCATTATATTTGGTGCCCTCAGAATAGTAGAACATGTCCTTTCACAAAGAAAATACCTAACTGTTTCCATTTCTCGTAAGGCCTTAGCATGTCTCATTGCCCCAGTCTTGAAACTACCTATATCCTTTCCTCAAAGTAGAGAAAATGAAATGTAGATACCTAGTTAGAATACATGTCTACTTAAAATGCTTTAGAGCAGTGGTTCTTAACCTTCCTAATGCTGTGACCCTTTAATACAGTTTTTCATGTTGTGGTCACCCCAACCATAAAATTATTTTGTTGCTACTTCATAACTGTAATTTTGCTATGGTTATGAATGGGGGTGTAAATATGTGATATGCAGGATATCTGATATGGGACACCTGTGAAAGGGTCATTTGATCCCAAAGGGGTCGCAACTCACAGGTTGAGAACCATTGCTTTAGAAGATAATGTTCCTCACCAAGCATGGAAAGAACCTGATGGATGATGTGCTCTGATATCTGCTGTTTTAGTGTCTCCAGTGTCTGAGGTGTAGTCTCCTGCCTCACTAACTTTTGTCTCCTTTCAACCACCTCTGCCAAGCAGATGATACAGTAATAACACTGGCCTTACTAGGGGGCTTCCAGAATGTAAATAAGGTCATGCATTAACCACCTTAGAATAGTGACTGACCCCTAGTGAGCACCATTAGGAGTCATGCTGACAATAACAGTAAAATAAAACTTTATATGTATATATCAATTCTAACTCCTTTAAATTTCAACATTTACAGCCGTGAGACACACAAGATAGCAGTGTTTTACATTGCTGAAGGGCAAGAAGATAAGTGTTCCATCTTAGCCAATGAAAGAGGAAGCCAAGCATATGAAGACTTCGTTGCTGGTCTTGGATGGGAGGTAAATAACCTCATTCATTGTGTGGTTACTGACTGTCAGTATTTAAAGCAGACATGAGTTATGTGTGTTCTTAGGTATATTTTTACATTCAGATGTAGCATGCATAGAGTTCTTGAAGAATGTATTGACCTTAAAATCTGTTTGCTTCTTTTCAATATTCTATCTGGGGACTTTTGCTTCTCCTTAATATCTTTTCACTTGCTTTGCATCGGAACTGGATGGGCTCAGCTAGCCATGGGTGGCAGTTTGTGACAAAAGAAGACACATGTGGCCACTGGGAACTTGAGTAAAAAAAAGGAGTGACTTGATAGATGAAAAAGGAATGAGGACTAGATAAAGTGAGAAACTAGAACTAGGGTATAGTTGATCGTCACTGCCGTTCCCTCATGCACAACTCCAGGATGAACGACAAGGACTGGGTTTCTTTGCTGAAAGATAAACTAATGGATATACACGTAGACACATACCTGCCTCATACATACGGAAATCTAGAGGAAAGTATATCCCTAGACTCTGAAAAGAAGCAAGATTAGTCCAAATAGAAATCAAGGTCGATAAAATACTGGGCTTTTCTTCCTCTTGCTTTTGGTTTCTCAGTTGGCTGAGTTCATCTGGGTTAGGAAAGCTTTGGCTGCATAAGAGCAACTTTTCTTCAAGAGTCCAGTCTTGGCAAGGGCCTCCTTGCAGATGGCATCAGGACAGAGTACATCAAGATCAAGTCTGTGCTCCTTCCAGAAAGTCCGAGAGCTATTGCACTTGCAGTGAAACACTGTTGTTAATAAAGTTAGAGTACATTTGTTACTTAACTTATGTATCGTTTTTTGAACCAGCCAAGGTCAAAGAAACAACTAGAAGAGAGTTGGGAGTGTACCTCAGTAGTAGAGCACTTGCCTAGCATGCTCAAGGCCCCAAGTTCCATCCCTAGAATCACAGAAAAAGAAAACATAAGTGTGGCTAGATTATTAATTCAGATTGAATGTTGGTCATATTTGGAACAGAGAAGTTTTCTATTTCATGTTTGTTAAAATGGACATTCATTGAAAAAAATAATAGTTTATGGCAATTTAAAAACTTAGATCTAATCACTAAGAAGGAAACATCTGTAGACTGATGGCAGTGATGAGAACTCAAGCAACCTTTCGAAAGGCACATGCTGGGGATCAAAGCCAGGTCCTCGCACATGCCACGCAAGCGCTGTATTGCTGGGCAGACAGTCCTTAAATTTTGATAGTGATTTTCCTGTAGTAGGATTTCAAACCAGTTTCATTTCTGATGTTCTTCATTTCTTTTTTTAAAATTTTAATTTTGTATAACTTACGTTTATTTGTAATCAGAAAGAAATATATTAAAATGAAAACAGTTTGTGTTTTCAACTCATATTCCTGCCTAATGAATAGCACAGCTTCCTTTGACCCTCACCTTTTCCTGTGACCTTCATCAGGTGGATCTCTCAACCCACTGTGGGTTCATGGGTGGTCTTCAGCGCAATGGCAGCACAGGACAGACGGCCCCTTACTATGCTACCTCGACTGTGGAAGTCATTTTCCACGTTTCCACTCGGATGCCATCGGATTCAGATGATTCACTCACCAAAAAGGTAAGGTGGCTCCTCGGGGACAGCACCTTGCTGCATTCATGTGTAAGTGAGGCTCTCTGGGTCTGGATGTGACCAAGCCCTGGCACAAACTGGGGCTGCTTTCCCCAGGCCTCAAAGTCAGTGTCGCTCTTCCCCCAGCTACAGTTGTGTTGAATCTAAAATACCAACAAAGCACCATCTTAAGTCCTGAGGTTAAAGACTGGGAAGAAGAGGGCCTGCAGTGTGGCTACTTTTGGATCTTCTTCCATGTTAGTTACCTGAGAGAAAATGTTTTTACCTCACAGATTGGTAAGGCCACAACACATAATGGCTGTTCTGACAAAAAATCCTGGTAAGGCTCTAGGAAAGCATCCTCCCCACACCCCAAGGTTGCTAGGGTGAGCTGCCAGCTTTGGCAAAGTGACCTGCAGCTGTGTTGCTGCACAGATGTCCCACCTCGGCTGCTTCCCCTTTGCTGTCCCTCACCTTCCACCCTATGGGTGGTTTCCTCTGAAGTTCAAAGGAAACCTTATGCTCCCAGAGGAACTCCACCAAGGAGACAGGACCTTGAACTCCCTAGCCTGCAGAATGTTTACTTGAGGGGGCTCTGGTTTTGGATGAGGAACACATTAATGGGAGAAAAAGGTCGTTGGGTAAGAAAACCACTCCTGTAAGTTTCTAGATGAGAGGGGCATCCTAGAACAGTGGTGACTTGTGCTGCCTCTGTGGGCTAGTAGGTGACAGAGCCTGCATTCCCACTTCACACCCACTCCTCCAGCAGTGCAAATGTAAGGAACCGAGGGCAGTACCTCAAGTGCTGGCTAAGGCTGCACATTGGCAGTGTGGTGATATGGCTGGAGCTAGGGCCAGACAGCTCTAGGCTCAAGTGTGTGTCCAACTGTTTTACCAGCTTGGACCTCAGTTTTTCATGTATTAAATAAGATTAAAAATGGGGTCCATGGCACAGTACTGGTGAGTCAAGTAAGTGAGACAGTGAGTGCCTGAAAAACATTGCCCTTGTCATTGTCCACTGGTGTAATTGACTCTTTTTCCTTGTCCCATTAGCCAGATGATGGCTGCTAGCTCATGGGCCCTACTGTATCTGCTTCGTGTCTTTTGTCTCTGGTTCTGCCTTTTCACCACTGTAGCCACAGACATCTGGACTGCATAGACGATGAACAACAGTGCATGTGGGACATCATCAAAACTCGGGTCACAGACAATTTCCATAGTGATCAAGTGTCTCCGATGCACAAAGCACAATTTGCATTCAGAAACTCAGCAGCCTTTCCCCCGCATAGCCCTGCATACTGCTCTGGCCTCCTGGGCTGGGAACCTCACAGCTAGTGGGCCTGCTAGCCATGTGCTGGTTCCCACAGGTGGGAAGGAGCTGCCTGTCCATCTTGGGTTCTGATGACTGCAGTGTTCATAGAAAGGAGGACGCTGCTATCTGGTAGCTCACTGATGTCTTAGAATCTGGGGTCACTTACCTGGCCTATACTCACAGGTTTTTTTAAATTTGGGATACCTTATAAAATCTTCATACTCTGCATATTGTCACCAAATTCTATGATTTTTTTTGTGACTGATAATAACTTGTTAAAGATAAATTTGCATATAAACTGTTTTGAAATATTTCTTAAGTATAGAGGCTTTTTAAATTTTGTTTTTATACCATTTTCTTGACATAATGCTACCATAAATAATGTCCCAAGGCTTGGTCTGGATGGGAGATTCCCCACTGTAATAATCAAAAAGCAGCTGAAACCTTTTGCAGCTCTAAGATTTAGCATCATTAACAATAAACTCTCTTTACCAGGATGTCTCATAGTTAGGCAGAAAAAATCAGTCACATAATGGCAGCCCCCGGTTCCTTGACTTCCTCTAACTAAATTGTCCCTAACAGCTTAAAAATGAGCTGCAAAATTCTAAAGTGATTCATGCTCTGCTCTGCCCTTGTCGTGGGGGGACTTTTTCAATTCTGCAATCCTATTGCAACCCCATACTGAACTCTTGATCCTTCACTGCAGAAATTTGTTAGCTCTAGCTAGATTAGATTTTTCACAGCTAATCTAACTGCTGTAGGGGTTTGCAGAGTGGGGACAGAGCTGTGCTATTGGATTTGTCCAATTCATTTGACTCCAGGACTATAATTGCACTTATGTCTTACAAGGCTTTTATAGCCTCAGGCTGGCCAGCCACATGAAAAACAAATTGGCAGTGATACAGTGCCAGTGAAAGGGGATGAAAGGCCCACATTATCAGTCTCTAAGCAGCTCTGTTCTGGCAGGAAGTTTCTTGGTTAATTTACAAATAAAACTTAGATTTTAGGATGGGCACACTGTCAGCTGAACAATGGGGATGTCAGGCCTGACTGTTACTTAGTAAAAGTAGCAGCCGGGCCCACTGAGGAGCCCAGATTCTTCAATCAAACAGACGACTCCTTCTGGAGCCAGCTGGCGATGTAATGCAATTAGTCGGGAAAGGAGGTCAGCCTATTAGGTGTGGACCATGACCGGTGTCACCAGTGGTGTGCAGGCGTGCAGCCTGGCAGCAGCAGGCAGAGCAGCTCGGGCAGAGGAGCTTTAGAACTCTGTCAGGACCAAGGATGGCAGGACATGGGATTGATTTCTTGAGGCTCAGGAGCCTGTTTGTTCTGGCATGGTAAGCCTTGAGGCCTTCTGGAGTCGACTGCATAGTGGAAGCAGGCCACATGACTACAGCTCCCATTCTAGCTCCCGTCTCCTCCTGAAGACACTGCCTCCTGTCAAATTTGTCCCTGTGCAAACTTGTGGGTGGATTTCTAACTTAAGGGCCTCTACTCAGAGTTCTGTGAAAATCACCAAGTGACACTGAAATTGAAATCCCCTTTGAATGGAGTACACTTTAGTTTTCTAGAATATTCCATCATGTTCTGATATGGATAGCTATGTTTTGCTCTGATGTGCATAGTTTGTCCACACCAGTTTTATTTGTTTTACATACTTGGGTTCTTCTCATAGGCACGAGAGGGTGTGATGTTTGTGCTTTGTTCCAGATGTGTCTGTCAATTGGTCCTGCGGCTTTAGTTCTTGGTTTTATGATTTAGTTAATTAAACTGTAACATATCCAGAAGTCTGAGGTGCATGACACCGAAAGCAGCTCTGACATGGTGAATATTACAAAAATAGCTCTTCCTTAATTGCAGAATTGCCACATTGGGAGGAAGGGTCAATTAGTGTGGCACTGCTCTCCTATGCTAGAGTTTTCTCAGAATACTGCGGCAAATAAAATTAAGAGGGGTTTACTTGGGTTATATAATTGAATAACACAATTTAGAAAGGGGCAGAGTAACTGCAAAATTTCAGTAATCCCTGTATCATTCAGAGCGAGTGCTGTACTCTGCCCTTGTGGATGAAAAGGAGAGACTGTAGGTATTAGGTATGGTGTTGGGTGGGAGCAGCAAGGTTGATATTTGGTAAGTGGGTTGTCTCCATTTGCTTCTGCCAACATCGTAACAGAGTACAGGGCCAGCTCTCTTTGTAGGATAACGGCTGGAAGCTGAACTCCAGCATAACCCATTTCTTACTGTTAGCTCCTATTGCTCCAAATCCCCACCCCCCAAAGTTTCAGTTAGATCTAGTCCACATTTACCATGGAAATCTGTCCATCTTGTCTTGCTGGCAACCCTACCTCTCATGCTGTCACTACAAAAGGACTAAGTGGCAAAACAGTATCACGAGGTCTTTGGAAGCTCTGTTAGAAATGGGAACCACAGATAGGCAGAAATCTCAGACAAGAATGGCTGGAATGTAAATCAGAGAGTTGAAGTGTAGAGCACTGCATATATAAGGCTCTAGGTTCAATCCCCAGTACTGCAAAAAGAACAAAAGAAAAGAAAAAGTGGATTGCAGGAACACCTTCAGCTATGAGAATTTGGCCTTAAAAAGAAAAGAAAAAACAACAAAACCTTTGTGTTAGAGCTGGGTTGGCTGTGCTACGGTTTTTCCTTTTCTGCCTGCTACCCTGTGCCTGTAATACTTATGTTGGGGTAATGATGGAGTGAGGAGAACAAGAAAAAAAATGCACTCGGTTGTGTTTGCGTTTACAAAGTTGTTGACGCCATTTAGTTGTTCTGGATCATCGTGACTTGTGCTGGGCCTCCGAAGTTGCACGTTTCTGGAGCCACTGCTCTGACACAGGTGAATCCCATCCCTTACTCCATATAGGCACAAAGGTACAGGGCAGGTCTCTTTGTAAATAATTGATGTATACAGTCGCTTCCAGATGTATACGAGTGAAAAATAAGCAGGCATTGCAACAAGCAGCTGCCTTTATAACTGGATGACTAGAAAAGAGGCCATTCTGGGGTTATCTTGGGTTTTTCCCTTTATGATCAAATGGTCTCTAAAGAAAACAGTATCTGTGCTAACGTGTTTCAAATATGCACTATTCCAGAATTCGCTTGTTTTCTAATTTTTAAGATAAAACTAGAATATAAGCTCTGCCATAACATCTCAGTTTTATTAAGGTGCTTTTAAGTTTGGTCACTTGTAACGTTCATCTGTTACATGAGCTCTTGTTCCTGATGCTGGATGGCATTCCCTGGTGTGAGGCAGAAACCTCATTCCCCAAAGGCTTCTAAGCCCCTGGCTCTGCCAGTCTTTACAGCTTCAGAACTTCAGTTTGGGCTGATGTTTCCATCGCTATGGTCTGTTTTCCTTTTAGTTATGTTTCTAGGCTTTCTAGAATGATTTCTTTGCAGCTTTCTCCAGATTAGGTTGGTGGGATCACCACAATGGCAGTTGATCAGTGATGTTCTTGCATCTAGCAAAGGTTTGCTCTGGAAGAGCTTGTAAGGGTCCCTGGAGACCTTCCTAAGACCTTCTCAGAGACACCAAGAGTCTGTGGGTTTTTGGAGTTTATGGTCTTTTTATTTATAAAATGTCAAAATAAGTGAGCTAAACTACCTGAGCTATAACAGTAAAATAGCTTTTGGTGTAAGCTGAGATCAGGATTGTACAGCTTGCAGCCCCAGATAGCTGTGAGTGCAGTCTGACACAAAGCTGTAAATGTACTTATAACAGTATGAGATTTGTATATGTGTGTGTGTGACTTTATTTATTATACCTCAATTGTATGGGTCTCAGTGTGGACACACTGTGCCATATATGTGTGTGCATGCATGTGTGTGTGTGTCTTTGTGTGTGTCTGTGTGTTCTCATAGCCTGTGGGCCACAGGTTGGATGTCCCTGGCTTAAATATTTGTGAATGGAGGCCACAGTCTCTGGCCCTCTCTTTCATGCTGTTCTCTGCACTCGGGAGACAGAGCATTCCTGAACAGGCACTTCTTGTAAGATAAAGTAAAGGTGGAGTTACACAAAGTCAGTGGGAAGGGGTAAATGGCATTTTATGTGAACACTTTGGAAGTCTTTAAATGTTGGGTACTAGTATTCCCAGCAAATTCAAGTTATAATTTAAATTAAATATATTTATCTCAAGACCAGTTTCTCACACATTTGTCAACAGTTGTGTTGGAGTAGCTTGTGTTATCTTACATTGTTATTTCTTAATAACCCACTGGGTTAAGAGGCTTAAAGTTTTAAAGTAATAAGGACTAAAAAAGTGAATGTCATTTAGTTGTTGAGAAACATTCTCAGCACTCTAGCATAGGACTGATGTAGAAATAGAAGTCGGTGTAAAAAGAGACCTTTAAGAGGTCCCCTCCGTCCCACTGGAATGTACCCCTGTGCTTCTGCCTGTGATCTCAGAACCAAATGTGCATCCTAGCAGATGGTCTGGAGTTTCATGAAATTGTACGCTTTCGAATCCTCACATAAGGCATCAGTGTTGTAGCTTGATTTGGGACTAAAATACTTTTGGCCTTCGAGTTTTCTAATTCAATTTATAAGCCACAGCCCCTCATAAACTGTTGTTATCACCTCAGTTAATAAAGAGCCAATTTGCTATTGCAGCTCCGTCACCTGGGGAATGATGAAGTCCACATCGTCTGGTCTGAACACTCCAGGGACTACCGCAGGGGTATTATCCCAACAGCCTTTGGAGACGTTTCGATCATTATTTACCCAATGAAGAATCATATGTTCTTTATCACGATAACAAAGAAGCCTGAGGTATGCTTCCTCCATTGTTGCCCTGACTCCTACATTTTCCATTGGATTCACTGTCCTCAAAAAAACTGATGAATATCCTACAAATATCAGAATTGTGTGTGCTGATAGAAATTTAAGTGAACTGTGATTTTTCAAAAGAACTCTAATCATGAGCACAGAATTCCATGTTGTATTATTTGAAAATTATGTTAGAGAAATGTATGGGGTTTTAAATAATTTTAATGCTTTGAAATGTTATAATTTTAAGAATATCATAATTTTAACTGGGGCACATTATTAATAATAAGAGTTGATGGAATTCCATTATCACATGGTTATTTGGAGAATAACCATGGGTCTAGAATCCAGCCCTGTCTGATGCATGGGTATTGGTCACTGAGCCCTGACTGGTGATAATTGAGGTCAATCCTGAAGGATTTTTGACATGTCCAGAAAGACACTGGGGCCCTGAAGCACAGCCCACAAGATGAGTATTAGCAATCAAAGCACCTTGCTACAGAATCAATTCAGCCATGTCAATTGGTATTGATCACAGGGCTGGCTGGAACAATCCAATGGTCTATGTCCTGTGTACTAATCGGCTTCAGTTTCGATCCTTGTCATGCCTTTACTGGTATTTTAACACTACTTTGTGTCGTGACTTCTTTTACTTTTATTTCATTAAGAAGAGTGTTCTTAGGTTTGAAATTAAGCATATTAAGCATATAAGCCACTCTAAGGAAAAAAATGACTTGTTTTCAGCTTGATATTAAATATATTTATTTACATCCCAAAATCATTTTCCTGAAGAAGCTCATCATTATTCTAAAGCCTTTTTGTAAAGTTAAAAAAACGTCATGAGATTCATTGTTTTAATTCAGATTTGTAACCTAAAGTTACATTGCAAGTGTTATATGTGCTAATAAGTGAAAAAGTGCTCCCGATAGTGCCTGGGACCAGGGTAAAGGTGTTGTTATGGTTGCTATCAGGATTTTTTTTATATAGTTACTATCACAGAAATAAAATCAGTAGAGTTCTAAGTTTAACATGTATGTTAATTCTCCATTGTGTGGGTTTTATGGATCTAGGAAAGCCTCATAGAAGAGGGCGTTCTCTGTCTTTTCATAGAGAATGTCCGAATTCATATTAGATATTTGTGTTTCTCTGATTCAGACCCCTGTGTATGTCAGGTTTTCAGTTTGGTGCTGTAAGAAAATGGCTCGGTGCTGACATTTGCATTTGTCCATGAAGAGAATTACTTACAAGAATTAAAGTGGTAATTTTAATGTTAGAGAAGCAATGGATTTAGGCCTTTTTAGCTTTCAAAAATTTTTCTTTTACATGTAGTGTATAACTAGTTTTATTAGTTCATTTTCAGGATGGTCCTTTAAAATGTCATAATGTCCTTAAAATGTTCCCTTTATTTTTAAAGTGAATGAAGAACTTGAAAAGCATTTCATTTCACTCTGCTGTGTCAAAAATGACATTTCCCGAAGTAGCATAAAATGCATAAAAAGTCATTAATATACTTTTTAAATTTTCCTACAAAATATGTGTAAGATAAACTTGGTCATCAATTCTGACAAGATGAATTGAGAAAATTGGCTTCTTAATATTTTAACCCAAAAAGCCTAAAGAGAAGAGGAGAATAATAGGGCAACTGAAAACTTAGTGTTATCCCTACATTTAAAGTACAAACCATTACAATGTAATAAAATTAATCCAGACATTTCCAGGGCAAGTGTAGCTGACCTTTTGCTCACCAACCACTGACCCCAGGGTGAATGCAAGAGGCTTTCGGAGGGAAAGTCTGTTTGTTTGGCTTCGGTCCCTGGTATTTAAATTGCATTCCCTAATCAAATGAAAAGGCTGTCCTCTCTATCAGGTTACAGAATCCATGGCAACATTTGGCCTTTTATATCCATAATGTTAGCCTTTTTGTTTGCATCTAAGTAGAGACACCTGGAGCAATGCTAACATTAACCGATTTAGCATTAATAGCTTCATTATATAAGAATTTCTGATCAGATAGCTGTTACTTTTGTTATATTGCTTCAGCTTGTATTGTTGTCATTTTTTATCTCCTTGCTTGGCAACCAGGCAATGATTTGCAAATTTTTTTTGTCTTGATTAATTAAGCAATATAATTATCAGTAACCGTGATGCAGTCTTTGCTCAACAAAGCTTCTGAGAGAAAACAATGGTAAGTCTGTTAGTATGAATGCATTCCACGCGTCCCAGATGCATGAGGATATTATGGACAATGAGGGGAAAGGCCGCCTGCGAGCGAGGACAAAGAGTGCCACGCAGACTCGACACACTGCACATACCGCCAGGGACATGCTGCGGGCTCCCTGGGACACAGACGCCTCGTTAGATTACAGCTAGTCAGCAGAGATTAATTCTCAGCCATTTGGCGCAATAATTTACCCATTCCCCAGTCTTTTAACTAGTGCTCCTTACTATGGAACTGAAGGCTTTGTACTCAAAAGGTTTACTTAACCTTGGCTACTTTTAGGCATCTCCACCAAAACCATTATTTTTGCTTAGAGATTGTACTGACGCAGCTGCTTGAGCTGAAGAATATTCCTGTAGGAAGACAGAATATGCATATGTTTCAGAAATTGTAGATGGAGTCAGTGGCAATCTTTTAGCACCTGTATATTTCATATGAATACAGTGTGACTCTGGTCTAAATACATTTATTTTACTCATTTCTGGGCAGCCACACTTCTCTAAGAATAATTTTAATCCTTTTTAGGAGGGGGAAAAAACTCATCAGTACACAAAAGTCCTGCTCATTGGATAGAGTCATGCATATTCAAATTGTACTTTCATTCACTTGGCCTCATTAATAGCCTATGTAATAATGTGGGGCTATTTGTAATACAAGCTCACAGGCAGCATTACTTCCAAGTCCTTTGAAATTTAACATATTTCGCTTTTTCATTCCATACACCCCCTTTAAATATACAAATTATGTGCCTGGCAGAATCCGCCTCTCTTAATAATGCCCCACATTTGTAAAATGGTACATTGAAGAAGCATGGGTGTGCTCCTGTGCGTGCACAAAACCCTCATGGCTGAGAGGATCTGCTCACTGTATGAACATTGCATTGAACCTCTGCCTTTCTCTTTAAAATGTGTGCTTTGCAACATTATTTCATTGTTAAGTTGATTTCCAAATAAGTCCATCCCCATCTCCATAAATATTGACACAATAAAATTTTGATCATAGAAAAGAAATATGTAATTATCAGACTTACATTTTTCAACTACTTTCATCAGTCAGCCATTCAGGAAAGACCTGTACCTAAGACAATGAGTGATTTAAAGGGTCACTTACTTTACCTTTGCCTTACCTTTTCCTAAGTTTCCCTGACTGCCTGTGGGCTCTGTTGAAGTGGTATCTGGCTCTCTTGTAGCTTCAGGGGTATGTGCGGTGGAGATACATGTATGCATGCAGATGTATAGGAATGTATCCGTCTTCCAGATGATGCTTAGCTCAGAACCTTTGTCTGGAGCAAGCACCTACACAATGCTAGCAGAAGACTGATGTGCCAGAAGTCACAAGAGCATGTTAGCACACAAGGCTAAGAGGAGCCCAGCTTGGGCATCCTTCTTTCTGCAAGGAGATGTTTTAAGCCTCCTGGAGCTGCCCCATTATACAGGGAGTATGTTTGCCTTTGCTTCATGGTTTTGTACATTTCTCTTGATTTCATATTATAATTTCTTAAATGTTTATCTTAATGCTTTGGAGATTCAATCAATTTACTTTAAAATGTTCTGGAGAATTCTCAAGGAAGTAAAATAACTTTGGAAAATACTAAGGATTATTTACTTAGAAAAGATCATTGAAAATACCAAAGAGCCCGGTTTTATTACACTAACTTAGTAACTGGATTGCTGCAGTGTGCTCATTTAGGTCATGGATTATTAACATTGATTTTAGTAAAGGGGTGGCGATAAGAACCACATGAAAGGCAGCTTGCTTGTAGGTGTTGTTTGAAAATCAACTTTTTTGCTAATACACTGACATTGCTAGTTAGAGAAATTCCCTATTTGATATGGGTTTATATTAGCCCTTTTGTCCAGTTTTTGGAAGATTGAGTCACCCACAAGCAGGTGCCAAAAAATAGAAAACATTTATTTCACAAAAGGGCCTTTATCCAAACAGAAGAAAACCCACATTCTTAACTTACCTCCTACCTCGCAGAAATTTGCCTTTTGAGATCTCCTTTTCAACTGAATTTCCTTAAAAGTTGGCACCGTTCTCCTGTTTCTTACTTAGTCCTTGACGGATTTGTCTTCCCCTTGTGAGTTTATCTTCCCTCTTTTGCTGAATGTACACCAAACAGCAAACTGAAGCCAGACTTTGTGCCAGGAAGCAGGGCAGATCTCTTCTCTACTCCTGAGCTGCCGCAGTGGGAAAGGCCACTTGGACCCAGGAGACAGGACATCTTCCGGCCCCTCCTCATGCAGCTTCCTAAGGTCCTGCATGTGGGTGCACACCTGCTGGGTATTTAGCCTGACAGGGGAACGGGGTGTTGGGAGTGTGCTGGCCTCCACTGTGGAAGGAACAGCCCACTGCCTGGGGCGTGTATTGCTAGACTAAACTTGAAATTTAGTACTTCGTTTGTCTTCTATGTTGTCCTTCTTTAGAACATGTACGTGAGGAAGAAGAACACTTACCTTTCTTTTTTGAGACAGGGTCTCACAGAAATCTACCTGCCTCTGCCTCCCAAGGCATGTGCTACCACACCCGGCCAAGAACACTTTCTTATTGAAAAATAGAAATAAACTTGCAAAGCAAATTGCTAAAGATAGTAGGAAATTGTTCTTGTAGTTCTTTTTCTGACTTTGCTTGGGTTTTTTGTTGTTGTTGTTGTTTCTTTGTTTTTTTGGTGTTTGTCCTTGATGCATGGGTCTAGCAGTGTGGAAAGAGCCAATAACTATGTGAATAAGTTGTTGAAACAGTTTTCTAGTAGCAATGGGTGTCACAGAGCAAAGGAAACAGAAGT